ATTTTGAAACCACTTCTTCCAAAACATCCGGGACCAACTTCTCCCAATAGCTAAAATATGTCGCAGTACAATTTCAATATAAGTAAAAGTTTTTTTATGTTCTAAAATGACTTTCATTTCCTTTATAAGGACACATGCAGAACAATATAAGCATTTATATATAGTCATAGATATAAAGCTTTTTTTGCTTTTGCCGCAACGATAAAAAATCTAATATATTACTTGATAAATGGCCTGCACTTTGAAAAAAATAATGTTTTTATTTAAACCTCATTACATATTTAATATATTATATTTTTATTAAAATTCGATTTTACTTAAAATTAGTAAAGACCATATAAACCCATTTACATATATATATATATATGTGTGTGTGTGTATATATTTTCAAAAAAAATCCAAACATTTTCAAAAATTTTGTTCCATTTATGGTGTGAGTTTGGCTTGATATTGGTTTTCGGATATAATATTTTAAGAACTGTTTGAATATATAAGTTAGGTTTAATAGAGTATGAGATTTTGATTTTCGGTGTCGATTTCGAATTGAAATTTTGGATACAAATACTCTCGATTAATTATGTTAGGTAACTAATAAAGAAATATAAGATGTTGTAATCTTTATAAATAAAGTTTAAAAATAATTTCTAAAATATATATACCATAAGTGTATAGTTATGCAATTTGACATATTAATATAACTATCAAAAATACATTAAATTTAAACACCAATATGATTACAAGAAAAACATAAATATAAAAATTAAATTTTTAGAAAAAAGTAAAAAATATACCCGCTCTTTTAAGGCCGGATTAAAATCTAGTTATTTTTTTAAAGTGCCCTCGTTGGGCTCTTGTTTGTATATTGGGCTTTATTTAGGGTTTATAGTGATTAAAACCTCCAACTATTTTTAAATCGGATAAAAAACCTCCAACTAAAATTTTATGTTTTTAAACCTCCAACTATTAAACCGTTAATGCCGTTAACCTTCCGTTATCAAAATCGTTTTTTTCTTAACGGAGACCCGTTAAATCGAACCGCGTTTCATGTAATTTCAAAAACGACATAAGGTTCTTACTATCAATATATATTTTAGTGATTTAAGCCTCTAACTATTTTTAAATCGTATAGAAAACCCCTAACAAATTTTTTTTTATATTTTTAAACCCTCAACTATTAAACCTTTAATTTTTTTAACCTTTGTAAGCAAAGTCATATTTTTTTCTGAACGGGAAACCTTAAATTGAAACACAGAGTTTCATGTAATCATATAAACATCATGAAATGTTTAAACCCCCTATATCAATGAGCAATGATAATCACAATTCATCTTCAAATAAAAAAATGAATAGGAGAGAAATAATTAGGGTAGATTGCGTACTGTTAAGGTAGATGGGTTTCCAACCTAAAACCAATTGGTGATAAGTGGAGTGGCCCATCTATCATATATACTAGATATAATCTCTTGCAACTTATGATGTGGGACCTTTGTTCCTAATACGCCCCCTCGAGATGATGGCTCTTGGCGTCATTCTCGGAATGTTCGGGCAAAGACCGATGAGCCGAATTTGGGCTGGATCGATAAGGATCGGGTTGGACTTTGTGGATCATGGACTCTGATACCATGTTAAGGTAGATGGACTTCCAATCTAAAACCGATTGGTAATAAGTGGAGTAGCCCATATATCTTATATATTGCTTATAATATCTTCCAACAACCGATGTGGGACCTTTGTCCCTAATACGCCTCTCGAGATGATGGCTCTTTGAGCGTCAATTTCGGAATGTTTGGGCAATGATCGATGGGCCATTAAGATAAAATAGAGTAAAATAAATAGGTGAAAGACAGAAGAAAATAAAAAGGGGCAAACAATACAAAAGCCAGTGCAACACATATTTCTCTGCATAAACCAAGAGAGAAAAATGAAACAATTTATTATGTTTCAACAGTAACTAGCGAAAACGCAAGTTGAATTTTTTTCACCTGATTGGCTAAATATTAGCTGGAGTCAAAGTAAATATGTTTTACACTTAAAATATATCGTCAGAAGTGCCATACAATCCTAAAATTAGAAACAATAGAATTTTTGGACTTACCTCACCTTCGATGAAAAGGAAAAAGAAATTTAATTTTTTTATTTAAGGATGAACTTTTGATTGCCATTTCCCTTTGATATAGGGGGTTTAAACATTTTATATCGTTTATATGAACATGAAACTATGTGTTTCAGTTTAACGATTTCTCATTCAGAAAATATGACTTTGTTTACTGAGGGTTAAAAGCAATAGGGTTTAAAAATTTAATAGTTGAGGGTTTAAAAATATAAAATTTTATGTTGGCGGTTTTCTATCCGATTTAAAAATAGTTGGAGGTTTAAATCACTAAAATATATATTGATAGTAAGAACCTTATGTCGTTTTTGAAATTACATGAAACGCGGTGTTTCGATTTAACGGGTCTCCGTTAAGAAAAAACGATTTTGATAACGGAAGGTTAACGGCATTAACGTTTAATAGTTGGAGGTTTAAAAACATAAAATTTTAGTTGAAGGTTTTTTATCCGATTTAAAAATAGTTGGAGGTTTTAATCACTATAAACCCCTTTATTTATAATAAAATATGAAGAAAAAATAATTAACGAAGCCGCGCCTCTCTCGCCTCTGTCCCACCGCTTCTCCACCAATCGCTTCCTTCTTTCTCTCTCTCCTCTCCCGTAGATCTGCACTCCCTTGAGAATCTCCTCCTTTTTAAATCACCATGGTGGGAGCCCTGGAATCTAATCAATCAATCCTTGAAATGGCTGAAAAGTTCGAGATCTTGTCTGATGATTTTGATCCAACGGCTGTGGTCACAGAACCGTTACCTTCCCCGGTAGCAAATGGGATTGGACCAGATCAGGAGAAAGACAATCCGAAAAGGAACAGTGTAACAAACGGAGGAGGAGAAAGAGAAATGGTTCTCGGCAGAAATGTTCACACAACGTCTCTCGCCGTGACGGAACCGGAATCGAACGACGAACATACGGGAGATAAGGAGGCTTACATGGCTAGCGTTCTCGCTCGTTACCGGAAAACTTTGGTTGAACGAACCAAATATCATCTAGGTAAACACTATTCATCATTATAAACGTAGATCCAAGAGTTTCAAGAAATGATATGATGTCGTGTAGGTTATCCATATAACTTGGATTTCGACTACGGTGCGCTTGGGCAGTTACAGCATTTCTCAATTAACAACCTTGGAGATCCGTTTATAGAAAGCAACTATGGTGTACACTCTAGGCCTTTTGAAGTTGGCGTCTTGGATTGGTTTGCTCGTCTCTGGGAGATTGAGAGAGATGACTATTGGGGTTACATCACAAACTGTGGTACAGAAGGAAACCTTCACGGGATTCTTGTTGGGTACGTTTTGTTTTTTTTTTCATTCATTTTTTTTGTTTTTATAAATAATTTTTTAACATCTCTTTTCCAGGCGAGAAATGTTACCTGATGGGATTCTCTATGCGTCGAGTGAGTCGCATTACTCTGTGTTTAAAGCAGCTCGTATGTATCGAATGGAATGCGAGAAGGTTGATACGCTTATGTCGGGGGAGATTAACTGTGATGATCTCAAACTTAAGCTGTTGGCTAACAAAGATAAACCGGCCATTCTTAATGTTAACATAGGTTGGTTCTTCTCTTTATTACTTGGTTAGGAAAGATGGAGTTCTTTTGCTGATGCTTGTTACATCTTTGCAGGAACAACTGTTAAAGGAGCTGTTGATGATCTCGACCTTGTAATTAAAACTCTTGAAGAGTGTGGGTTCTCACATGACAGGTTTTATATACACTGCGATGGAGCTCTCTTTGGACTTATGATGCCTTTTGTCAAACGTGTAAGTGTTATAGTCTTCATACCACTGTGATAACCATAAATGTACTCAGACAAGTCTGTTTTTTCTTCTCCTAAATGCAGGCACCAAAAGTCTCATTTAATAAACCAATCGGGAGTGTGAGTGTGTCGGGCCACAAATTTGTTGGGTGTCCAATGCCTTGTGGTGTTCAGATAACAAGAATGAAACACATCAAAGCCCTATCCAGTAACGTCGAGTACCTGGCATCAAGGGATGCAACAATTATGGGAAGCAGGAACGGGCATGCTCCTTTGTTCCTTTGGTACACTCTAAACCGAAAAGGGTACAAAGGATTCCAGAAAGAAGTTCAGAAATGCCTGAGAAACGCCCATTATCTTAAAGACAGACTCCGGGAAGCTGGGATCAGCGCCATGCTGAACGAGCTTAGCAGCACTGTGGTCTTTGAAAGGCCTAAAGATGAAGAGTTTGTTAGAAGGTGGCAGCTCGCTTGCCAAGGCAATATAGCTCATGTGGTGGTGATGCCAAGTGTTACAATCGAGAAGCTCGATCATTTTCTGAAAGACCTGGTCGAACATAGATCGGTCTGGTATGAGGATGGATCTCAAACACCATGCCTTGCAAAGGATGTAGGAACCAATAACTGCATCTGTCCTTCTCACAAGTGAGATCGTATTCACCCTACGTTTGCCATTTCTTTGTTTCTGGTTTGAGTTGGAATTTTCGTAAAATTTTGTCGGTTTCACTTTATTAATAAATGTCGAACTTTATACAATGTTGGGTTTTATATATGGCGCTAAACGATTTGTAGATGTTTTCTATGAAGATATCTGTAGAATATTACAGTAGTAACCACTCTTTAAATATAAACCGTGATATAAACATGAACATATCTGCAGACATACAATCAAACTACTAAGTACCAAAACATTACATTCATCTATCCAATACTGTATCCCCAAATGTTTAAAACTTAGCCTCTCTTTGTGAAATTCATGAAGTTCGGGCGTGATGGCTGCCCATTTGTGCACAACGGCGGGTTCTTGTTGTTTCCCAAACGATTCATTGTCGATTGCTGAGATGAGAACTGAGCACGGTTGTATGAATTTCCCTTCACCTGAAGAATTTCTCCAGCGGCTATCTTGAGTCGGTTCAATTCTTCCCGCAGTGTTCATTCAAAGCTGCAAGTTTTTCACCGAACAACATTATCTCTATTATCTTATACAATGCTGCCCAGTAAAAAATGGCTTTACCATCCTTTAGTTCAGCTTGTTGCTTTAATGCTTGTAACCGCATTTTGAGGTGTTTGTTTTCATTTGTCAGGTCAGATGTTCCTCTCTGTACAGTGTACATAAAGAGCACATATTAGAATGGATGCCAAATATGCACTGGATACAAGGAATCATTTTATCGTACTCCAGAATTTCTGAAGTGCATACAAAAATACAATAGCACCTGTTTTCAATCTAAAAAAGACATGTTAACATACAATACATATTGTTTTGTTTTTGTACTACTGCTTGTATGATGTGAGCCTTGTTCGTTTCATGATCACTACATCTCCGATCAAAAATGGTGTCGTTCATCATGACAATGCACGACGCCGGATGTTTGAACCAAATTCGATCATTTATCAGTAAGAAGACGACATGACTCGTCTGTGGATTATTTCAAAGGCTTCTTACTATTAAAGGATAAAGGAGTAGATTTATAAATGAGAGAGTTGGTGTACAAATAAGGAAACAAACGAGACGAGACGGCGTCACTCGGTGAGTTAGTAGGAAAACTACAAGTCGGAAAAGGTACAGACTGCAAAATCCTAGTTCTAGCCGCCTTGTAAGTGAGTGTTCGATTTCAGGATCCTCTTCTCGTTGTCTCCTGTCTCCCTTTTATAATGATCTTTCTTTACCCTGGATGACCTAGGTTGGTTTCTCTTCAAAGGCCTCTCGCTGATTGGCCTCTTGTTCGGCCCACTAACGTGGACCTTTGGCGGACTGTTCTTAGTCGCTTCCGTCGCCGAGGCGCCTAGGCTTAAGCCGACCGAAGTGTCTTAGGCTTAAGCTGACCAAAGTGTCTTTGAGCCAAGCCGAGATATGATCAGCTAGCGGGGCTGACTTAGATTATTCCTAAATGGGCCGAACCTGCTATCTGATGGGCCTTGTGAGAGGGAGCAATCCACCTCCTACAGTAAGTCCCCCCAGTCCGTTGCCGAGTTACTCGGTAAGTCGGGAACGGATTTTGTAGATTGGGTCCATCGGATAGTAGGTCACTCCGATTTTGCCAGAAGCGCGGAGGTCACTCCGGACGCAATCTGGAGATCGCAAAGAAATTGGTTCGGATACAGTCGGTGAGACGAGCATTGACGATTTGCTCGAGGTATGTGTGAGTTGTTTGCTCGCCGACCTGTTTCGATGAGTTAGTCGAATCGCTTGCTCGTCGATCTGTCTTGACGAGTCAGTCGAGTCGCTCGCTCGTCGGTCTGTCTTGACATGTCAGTCGAGTTGCTTGCTCGTCGATTTATCTCGATGCGTTATTCGAGTCGCTTGCTCATCGACCTGCTTCAATACGTTGATCACGACAACGCACGATGTAGGAGAAACATCTCTAACTCTGTTTTCAGTTGCAGCGGCCATTAATAATGAGTAAAAAGAGCGCTGAAATAAATGGTGGCACCGGCGTTCCATTTTTTTTTTGCATCTCCGATAACTATCAGTGACAATTTTACTTTTGGTTTTGTTTTTTTTTTCTCCGTCGTAGTGCATTTCTCTGCCGCAGCCGCTGTGTTCTGCGATGATGAAATGAACACCACTATTGACAATCAGAAACATTGTTCCTTTATTGATCATGAATTGAAGTCAAAAACACACAAAACAAAGTTGTAGGGATCTCTTCAGAAATTGATCAAAGACCTCTATTCTTTATTTAAACTTATCCCACAGCCTATCATACGCTTTTTCCGAGTAACAAATAAAATCTACTCTCTAAACACCAAGAAGCAATCTTAAGCACATTGGCCTCAACAGCTCAACTACAAATTATTAGCTATCGAAACCAACCAAGCAAGAAAATATAAGCGCAAACCCCTTAACCTCCAGCACAACACAACACAAATAAAAATGGTAGGTAATGTTGAGACATAAGATACATAAGTACAACGACTTAAGGATATGGTGTGCTTGACCAAGATTGCCTGCAACATAGTGACTTGAGCAGAGAGTGTGGTAGCTTCGTTCTGAAGTGTATGTACTTCTCTCACCAGCTCCCCACTATACCTAATCTTCCATTCTTTTGACCTAGCCGCAGATTGTCTATTCGCTAGAATAATATCAAGAAGAAGTCGACTATGAATGAATCAAAGTATATTTGAAGTAAACCATATGATATATGAGGATACTTACTGTTTGACTCTTTGGGGATCAAGCAAAGCAAGCTCAGCAAGTCTGTCACTAGCCATGTTTAGGATTTTTTTGGTAGGGTCTTTAGAGTACTATGGAACAATAGAAAGGAGACAAGGTTTGTAAAAGATTTAATAAAATTGAGGTAGATTGACACAGAGAGACGTATTATTATTGATTTAATCCGGGACTACAATGGTTGGTGTATGAACCCTAATTCTAGCCAGCTAGCTCTAGTTTCTAAGCCTCTAAAAGTCGATCCCTTGTTCTAGGGTGTGCGTTTCCGGAGGCAGGGTTGGAAGCAAGGGCCGGAACCAGATCCTTCTCGCCAGGGACTGGAACCTGGATCCCTCTCGGCAGGGACATGGATTCTTCTCCGCAGATACGTGGAGGCCGGTGTCATGCCAGGGCCTGGGGAATTATCATAACAGAGCTTTTTTTCCCAAGAGTTTGCCCCTTATTCCTAGATTTCGTCATCAAACTCGGGGGATAACATGTGCACTTAAGTCAACCCAAGTTGCTTGATCTCAGCAGGCCCCCCTTAGGCAGGACATCACTCCAGTTCTCTTGTTTCCCAGGTTCTTAGGCATGGACCATGTTTGAACCTGGGTAAGGATTATGCTTTCATCTAGGTAAGCTGGAGGCTGTGGCAGGTACCAGACCTGTTTGGTGTTGGTTTGCAGAGTTAGGGACCCGGTCTTGCGTCAAGATGGATGATGGAGCTGGTATCTTGTTATGGAACCTGCGGGACTTGCAGGAACGTCTGATGCTCCCATGGTCCGGGATTAAAAGTGTTGATCGTTTGACTGAGATTTCGAATCTAGGACGGACGTAGGAGCTGGATCCTTGCGTATCCCCAAGATTTTCTACTCTTAGAGTTTCCATATTTCACGATGAGGGACGATCTTCCTTTTCTAGTGATCATGAAATATCAAATTTCCTCTTTACCTTTTTGGGATCTCAAAGAAATGCTAGCTTTCCTTGTTTGAGATTAGGCAGAAAGAATGGGGCCCCGAATATATATAGGCTGCTTTGGGCCATCGGTGATCTCAAATTATCTCTGGCATCTTGCTTCTTCAGATCACCAGAATGGTTAACTAGTCTGTCTTTCCTGCATCTTTCGTAGAGGGTCCATGAGGCCTTTGATCGATACACCTTTCGCTCCGTCGATCGATTATTCTATAAGAATATCGATCGACGCGCTTCTATCAAGCTTTGCACGCGGGTTCATTACGTGCTCACTATGGTTCCTAAATCAGCTATCGCTTAATTCTAGCAATCCTAGTTAAATGAGGATCTATTCGGATAAAAGACCAAGTTATCGCTTGTGCCTAATCATTATAATATCATGGTTCTAGTTAGCTACTCTAGAGCACAAGCATTAAGAACATCCTATTTATAAATATCACAACTTAGAAATTCTCTATTTGGGGCTAATCTCTCATAACCTATTTGAACCCTAAATCTAACAATAGATATACTCAGACATGGCTAAGAAATTCATAACAACAAGAATAAGAAAAACGCATAGATAGATAAGTAATAATGGAGTTCTAATGAAAAGATTTGAAGAAATCTTGAATCTTCTCTCCAATCCTTACTAAAAATCTCTAGTGTGAAAACTAAAAATTAAGATAGCACATTTTGCCGTCAACAATAGGCAAAGCAATAAATACTAGGTAAAAACTCATCAGAGGCAATCTCGTAATTTGGTGAAGTCTTGGACTTAAAATCGGCTGGAACCAAGTCAATTTTCTGTGCGCGATGACTATTGATTGATGGCACAGGGTGTGCATCGATCGATAAATGACTCTGATCGTCAACCTGTGGTTAGCTCGGGTGATTTCTCCTTTTATCTCCAAAATGCTCCAAAAACATCACTTTCTTCCAAATCATTTCTGAAACTATAAATATGCTACATAGAATCTAAAACGTAATAGTTAGATATTAAAACACTTATATACCATGGCTAAAATTGGGTAAAATCCATGGCATATCAACTCTCTTTGACTTACCTTTTGCTTGTTTCAAGCAAAAACAATAGGCAGTCTCTCTAAAAGAGGTTTAAAAACAACGGGGACTCATAGAGTTTTAATACTCACTACTATCACTTACTATGATGCAACCACATCAAATAATTGCTAACCTCAGATGCACTTTATATACCATATCCTACTCTAGAACCAACTCCATTCTGTAAGCAACTTAGCGAATACTAGCTTGACTCACCCCTCTAGTAGCCTCATTTTTGCATAAAATAAATGTGCATGCTTTACCTTGGGAGTACCGACCAAATGACACATTGGCAGTCTTCTCTGATCCCTTTTTTCCTTCTTTTTCTCTCTTCTCTGAATCCTTTTTAGATCTTAAAATCAATGTATATTGATGCTGTTACAGACCATCTTGGCGTCTCATTCTCGATTTTATTATATTTTTTTTTTCTTTTAACAATGTGTAGGCGAATATGGGGGTCATCGGTAATGTACCCACCCATCGCTTCCACAATGTGTGATCATTCCTTTGAATTAGAATAGTGGGGTCATCAGTAATGTACCTACCCCTCTGAATCTCAGGAAATCATCTCAATCTTTTATACTTATGGATGCCGAAGAGAGAGAAAGAAGGGAATAAAAGGACACAGACTTTTACCTTCTAGACTTACAAGAGGAATTTGATCCAATGTATACCAAGCGCCAAGACAAGCATATAAGTCAGGTTAGGGTGCGATCTAATGGTAGGATGATCCACTTTAGTATCTCTAGTACAATCTTCTGCCAACAAGTCTAAGAATGGTACTAAAGAGTGGTTAGATAATAAGCAAAAACTCGAAAGTAATCATCATCCCGTTCTTGACTCTATAAAACTCTTTTTTTGCTAAAAAAATTTTGATAAGACTCATGAATAAACTAATATCAGTAAACATCTCCACAGGCTTAAATTACACTATCCCCAGTGTAAATCTAGTCGGAGTGATGGTGAAAACAAAATCATAAGGACTCAATGTAACAAGTAAGAACGATATACTTGACCGGAGTGAATGTCGATCGATGGAATGATGTTTCCATATGTCGCTGTAGGTGATGAAATTTTGATCGGTGTTGACATGTTCTTGTCGGTCGATATCCATGGCAATCATCTACTCGGATCTTTTTTTTTCCTTTTTTAATAAAAACCTGCAATTTTTTTTTAAAAAGAAATAATTACTAATCTAGTAAAAACTTAATGAAATTACCTAATAGTGGGTTGAAATTACCTAATAGGGGGTTGCCTCCCACTCAACGCGATGAATGTTGAAGCGTCTAGTCGTCTTGCTATGTATCTCTGAGTTGCAGCTACTTCCTTCCTCAACTTCTTTGTGCATGAAGTCAAAAAAGCTGATGTTGTTGTCGAATGAGACGTATGCATCATCACATCTCTTGTCAAGTTTGTCCTCTATTGAACTGATACTTCTGTTGATTTTTTTCTTCTAACTCATCAATCTCTTTCTTGATGTAGGTAGGTGGCTCAGACTTGGTCGGATTTGATACTGTAGGCTCGTCGTCGATCGATGGTAGGTCGTTACTGTCGATCGAAGGGGATGATATTTCTTTGGCTGCGCGTTATGTCTGCATATTGGCTATGTATTTCTTCATCTCTTTCATGCATGTAGTCAACCATCTGATGTTTTCATTCAGTGGCTAGTAGACACTATCAAGCTTCATGTTGAACTCATCTCTTGATCTTCCCTGAGCATCATAAATTCCAAATACCATCTCATCAATCTCATCTTTGTTGTAGGTGTTCTGGAAGACATATGTAGGAGGGCCCATGCATTGATGCTCTTTCTAGGAGATTTTGGATGTCAGCTTTTGTGATATGGATGAGGTTTCCATCTACTCCACAATGCTTGTCCATTCTCATCTCTCTGTTCCCAGTAGAACTTCCTTACTCCTAACCAATTGAAAGCTTTTCTTTCAAACTTTGACGCCTTTCGATCGATGGTGGTGCTGGTTTGTGGATCGATGGTCATCTGCGTGTATGATTCTTCCGACGAAATGAGTCCCTATTCGACAAGCTTCATCATACAGCTTTTCTAACTTCCTCTACCTGTACTCTTTGCGTTGTTGAATAAAAAGGTTGTTTGGTCCATTACCATCTGAAGCATTTCTGTGATTTCCATTCTGGATATGTGTACAATTCGTCCATCCTATGCTCGTGCATAGCCGTCTGGATCCTTAAAAATACCAAACTCATCCAGTGTTATAAAATCATGATTTGTATTATCTTGTGTTCTTACCTCGGATCGTGGTGTTTCATGATTGTCGATCGATGGAGCATGGGTACTATCGATCGATGGGGCTGTTTCATCTGCACCTATCCCATGTATTGCGGTTTTGACTGCATAACTTTATCTACAGTGATCATCTGCCCAACTGCCTATTGAGTAATTTCTCTCTCGAACGCTGTCGATCGATGACGGGTAACCTCTGTCGATCGATGGCGCATTCCATGTTGATATAAATGGTAGAGAACTCTATCTTCTTCTGTAGGAAGACCATAATACTCAATATCTTATTCCTCTTTGTAGTCCTCATCATACTCAGCAAACAGATCATCTTGTTCTGAAGGTGAAACATTGTCTACTACAAAGGTAGATTGGTTGTAATCATTCTCCCAACTGTCAATAGAACCTTCTGGAAAATTGTCTACCTCATCTGGGTGACGGCCGATCGATTTTTCCAGGTGACTATCGATCGATGTCGGAGGGTGAGTGTCGATTGATTTGTCATACTCTGTCTCGTATTCAGCTCCATTGTGGCATGATGCTATGAATCCTGAATAATCTCTGGTTCCTATGTAGGACGTCCGTGACTCGACAGCTCAAATCCAATCATAGTAGACATTCTGATCTATCAGTGTCAGGCACAACTGGTTGGTCTGCATGTTGCATACTGCTCCCATAGTAGCCATGAAAGCTCTCCCAAGTAGTAAAGAAGAATTCCTGTTCAGCTTGATGTCTAGAACATGAAAATCGACTGAGACAAGAACATTACCAATATGCACCTCAAGGTCTCTGATTATTCCTCCTGAGTTCCTTTGAGAACAATCCACAAAAGTGAATGATTCCTCTGAAGGCTTTATCTTCAGACCCAGCTGGTCTGCCATAACCTTAGGTAGTATGCTGACTGAAGCTCTTGTGTCACATAGTGCACATGGGAACTCAATGCCTTTCACCAAGCATGGTATTGAAAATTTCCAAGGATAACTCTTCTTCTTTTTTCGTGTAATCCTTTTCTTCATCTTTTCTCTGACCTGGTGGAAGAATTTCTCAATATCCCTCTTAGTTTCCTTGGTCTCTCTGAAGAACATCCACAATTTGTGGATAAAGTAAGCCTCTTGAAATGGCTTATCCAGTGGAATCCTAAGGACTCACTTAGTAAAGCTATCCAACTCCTTCTCATTAAATCCCTTTTTTAGATGCTTAGCAACCATCTCTTTCCTTCTCCTCAAGGTTCTTCCCTTAGTAGCTGTATCTACTTGCATAGGCTCCAGTGCATATTTTGAATCTGTGATGGTACTGTCTGGTGGGTTATCTGAAGGTGTTGATGGCTTCCTGAGTGCATTAAATCGTGCTACATCAATTGGTGGTAATTGCACTCGGTACGTGAGAGGTGGTCATAATTGTGGGAACCAAAAATTGCATTGTCAATTTCTGTTGAATTAGGAACGTAGGGTAAACCCTAATTTCCCAGAGGTCCTGGTTATCTGTATACCACACGCCAAGCAATCAAGAACGATAAGTAAAGAGACGAAAATAAAAATATATTAGTATGAATACGAATTAAAAGAGAGCTAAAAGAAGTTCTATTCCGAATTCGCGTTTGAGCGTTACGAATTTTCAGCTCTTTGTTGGTGCTCTTTCATTGAGTTGATTGATTTGCAAAGTATTGATCCTCCGTAAATGAAGTTGATTATCTTTCCCTTTTTCTGGTGACGTGCGGGGGAGTACCATTTTTTGGTTAGATTTGGCTGGTGGTGTCCTTGTTCCCCGGACAGGTTGGGTTTGGCAAACGTGGGCTGTGCTTTTTCTTAAGTAACGATTTTCTAGCAGCTGCCGAATCGTTTTGAATTTCTTAAGTATCGGCTTCTTCCTCTTCCGCGTTCTCGCTGTTCTCTTTTTTTTTCATCCTTGTTGCGGAGGACTGCGCGACATTCCTCGATGGAGTGCCCTTTTCGTTTGTGAAAGTTGCAATATTTGTTCGGGTCATACGTTGATTGTTTATTTTGTGACGATGAGTCAATTGTGTAGGAGTTCTGTCCATTAGTAGTCTGTTCCTTTGGGGTGCTCGGCTTTTTGGTCGTCCCGTTTTTTGTTGCGCTGTATTGCTCTTTCAGAGCAGTGACTTCTTCTTCGAGGGTCGCGGAGTAGGATGCGTGGTACAATGCGTCATCAGCAGGAGCTCAAACCGTCATGTATTCTCTAAATTTGGAAGAGAACCAAACACCGTTTTTCAAAGCTGCTAACGTGACTACTACGTTTAGGCTTGATATTTTGGATTTGAGTTCCTTGAACTTGTTATGTAAGCTCTCAATGGTTCAAAGATGCTTGCTTGAGGTTCCACAGATCGGTTTCGGTGGCTCGTGTCTCCATAAACACTAAATATGACGGTGGTAGACTCGCCGGTGGTAGAAGAAGTGCTGAGTCGCACAAAATCAAGAGGCGAAGAGGTCGAGAGTGTTGTCTCTTATTTCTGGAAAAAAATCCAAAAACATGTTAAATGATTGCATTTATATTAAATAATTAAGGGTTAAATATAGTTATATGTTCAATCCTAACAGATGATTATCCTCATCCTAGTGGCTAAGCTTTTACAGATGATTATCATCAGCCTAGTGGCTAAGCCACTAACCTACTACTTTAGAAAGACCTGTGTTCGATTCCCCACGGAATAGGAACGCTTTTTTTTTTTAAACTGAATTTTGTTGGTTACTGTATATTGTTTTACGTACAAAATCGTACTGAGAATACACCCTTGGTCTAGTAGCTGCCCATTATGTTCAGCTTTGCAAGAGTTCTTGTGTGTGTCTGACTCGTGTGAGATGTAGCTTTCTTCCTACATTTTTTTCCACAAAATTTTACATCCCCATTTGAAACTTACCAGATATGCAGATATCGAACTCTTATTTTTCGATCTCCTTTCACTTTTTAACTTTTCTAGATAGAAACACAATATTATATTTTTCTCGGAATCCCGTCCAAAAACTGACAAATGCTTTATTATGAAAACCCATCCAAATTTTTTGAAAAACCTTTCTACATATATGATACAAAGTAGGATTTAAATACACTAGATCTTTTTCCCGGGCTACGCCCGGGTTATTTTGTAGGAGAAGAATCATTTGTAGTGTGATTTTTTTTTTTTTTTGAAAAAGTGTTGATTAAAAATTTTGGAAACCCAAGATGCAAATATTTGTTAGCAGGTGCTTTATACATAATATCTTTTAATAACTGCGGAAAATGTTCAGCCAAAGAACTCGTATTGAAAAAGCAGGTAGTAAGTAATGTTTAATGTTTGGAGTTTGATTTTCACAAATTAAATTTGTGGGAATAATAGACCAGTTAAGAAATAAAAGCGTTGGTGTAATAATGTTTAGAAGTAGATGATAGTTTTCATAATCGTGAAGAACAAATTTATAAAATCTTAAACAACATGAAAATATTAATGATGGAGAAGCAGCTGGTACTCGCAAGGTAGAGGATGTAGATGGGGTGGAAGTTTTTTGAACTGTGGCCTGAAAATTAATTAAAATAAGTTAGTGAGTAGTTATTAGTAATAGAAATATGTTTATTTATTTCATAATATATGTATAGGTTCCTGGAGATGAGAAGATATCTATCGTCACTGTAGCATTTTTGCTTCGATCTTTTTGTGTTATTAGCTAGACCACTATAGAGACAATTGTGATTTTTCAGTTAAGTAACCCTTTAATATTTTTTTAGTTTTCGGTCTAAGTATAAACTTTTACTTATTTTCATCGGAAGAGAGCCAGTTGAAAATCTCTTTGTATACTATGTTTTTTTTTACTTTTTAGGGTGGGAATCTTGGCCCGGATTTCGACAAATCAAAATTTGTTTTAATTTTCATATCTGAAATATACATATGGAATAGTGACCAAAATTTTGAAATGGACGAAAACTTAATTAAATTTTAGTTATGATCAAATTATTTTTATGATTTATTTTTGGTTTCTTGTGAAAATATATTGTTAATTACATTTAATTCAAATTTTTTTTTTGGTTTTATAATCAATTGATATCATTTTACTAACAACTAAGTATGTATTTAATGATATTAGATAATAGGTTCTAGAATCTTGAGTTGATGTTTATACCCGAAACTATTAGTTATAACAACGCCATGACAGATTTACAACCTTAATCTGCATTGTAGAAATGTTTGTTACAGATAATTAATAAATTATAAGATCTATTAACCAAAATGTGATCTTATAAAATTAAAATGAATTTACAATTCACAATTACACAAATAATATTCAAATAAATAAATATTTTCAAACCAACCATGATAATACAGTGTTTCAAGATGAATGCCAAAACTATAGACATGACTCTTTGTGCTCAACGTTCCTGTCATTGCATACCTGAAATGCAGAACCATCTGTGTTTAAGACTCTAGTTTGGTCAATTAAAAGAGACCTAAGAAATTTAACAGCGTTAAGGTATGACAAAATAATGTCAAAGATTAATCCAAGGAAGCACTTATAGTCAAATGCGCTAATGTTTAAGAAATTAAAGGAAGTAAATGAAACTGAAATCAACCAGTAGTCAATCTCTTTGCTGAATACAATAAACACAAATAACACCTTTAAACAGAGATATGTTTCCCAAAAAAACATTTGACTTTTGCTTTCCTTTTTACATTTTTTAATAACAAAATTGTTTTCAGCCTTCCTCACCAGCTTTTTATTTTCCTCTGTTCATAAATAGGCCTCTGTTTCTTTTCTCATAATAAAACCAACACGAGACGCAAGAGAAATAAAAGAAAAAAACTGTTCAGCGTTATAGTTTTTTTTATCAGATTCTGTTTGTTCAGGGCTAAGTTTGTTGATGGTCATCTAAATTTAACATTTTCTAGTGTGTGTTTTGTTGATTATACGTTTCACGTATATCCTATTGAGAGATTGTGAAAAATGAAGTTTTGTAAGAAGTATGAGGAGTACATGCAAGAACAGAAGGAGAAGAAGAATCTACCTGGTGTTGGGTTTAAGAAATTCAAAAAGATTCTCAAGAAATGCAGAAGAAGAGATCATCTTCCTTCGCGTATTTCTGCAATCAGCCAACAACATAGCAACAACTGTCCTCGTGAATGCACAGTACATTTTTGACATTATTATTTTTTTTGGTTTGGGGAATCAATCACTCATGTCAAGACTCTAACCACCAGAGATTGTTTTAACTCTTTGCAAAATAATGTCAAAAGATTAATCCAAGGAAGAACTTATTGTCTCAAAACTTTAGAAAATGATAACAAAAGTCTTTGCGCACGAGTTGAACTTAATCACATGGATTAGGGCTTCCTCTGGAGCATGATAACCAAAGGTTTCCAGCACATGAGTTGAGTGAAGGCGTGCAGCCATGTCAGGGTCTTGGTTGGAGAGATCGAAATCATAAATCTTGGCAACATCATCATCAAACAAAAGCACATTGCTGGATTTGATGTCTCGGTGGACAACATGAGGGTTTGCCTTCTCATGCAAGTACTCAAGTCCCCTAGCCNGTTGGAGAGATCGAAATCATAAATCTTGGCAACATCATCATCAAACAAAAGCACATTGCTGGATTTGATGTCTCGGTGGACAACATGAGGGTTTGCCTTCTCATGCAAGTACTCAAGTCCCCTAGCCGCACCAACAGCAATTTTAATTCGCTGGTTCCACGACATAACATGACCTGGCTGTGCTCCTCTCACTCCTTTCGGACCTTCACCCAACAAACTCACCACATTTCATCACTTTTTCTTCCTATAATCTAGAAAATGGTTATAGTTTCACATCTACAACCGAATCAATGTTTAAATTAATATCTTACCATGAAGAATATCATGAAGAGATCCATTAGGAGCAAATTCATAAGCAAGAACACGGAGTGGTCCATCAACGCAATTAGCCAGAAGTGCAACAACATTGTCTTGTCTCAATCTCGAAACCATTGATACCTAGTTAACACTATTTATCTCAGTAACAACTCAACAAACCAATAGAGACAGGAGGAACAATGTCTAAAGATGATTTACTTAGTAGCATCCTACCTGGGAGAGAAACTCTTGATCCGGTTGTTTACTGGAATCAAGTTTCTTAATGGCAGCTGCCTTACCGCTTCTAAGAACACCATAAAACACTCTTCCATAAGAGCCCTCACCAATCAAGGATTTCGAACCCTAGTTATCGGTTATATCCTTCAACTCATCAGCTGGAATGGCAGGTACAGAGATAGGCTGCATCTGAATGACTGGCGAGTTCTTGGGTCGGTCTGGCTTATGATGGTGACCTCCACCAGGACCTTAGCAACGGTTGGAAAAAGTTAATCAACTTAGCCACTTAGCCAAAAAGTTGGACACAGTTGGATAATGGGTTACATAAGGTAAAGTGTACCTGCTGCGCGTACACAGGCTTTGGACCAGTTTCAACAACTCTACGAAAATCGTCACCGCCACAACAACCAAAGCAGCTCATTACGCTTTTCTAGCTATATAACTCAAAAAAAAAAGAAAAAAAAACTGAACAAACAGGTCAGCAATGGTGATGCAGAGCCTTTTTGTTTTAGTCTTTACATACGAAATGTAAGTAAACTAAATGTTTTTTTTCACAAAGGAAAATAGACAATACGAATATAGAAAATTTCAGACAGAACCTGAAACAAAAAGTTTCTAACATAGACAGAACTAACTAAAATCAAACGAAACAAAAACACGATCAAACACCAGACGAGACATTTAGGTCAATGATCGTAACCCCTAAAACGGATTCCACCATGAGTTCAATCAAAACATAATTATTAAGCAGAAATAGATTTGTATACCATATTTATTTTCTGACTCAGTAACTAATCCAGCCGAATACCAATCATTCTACTCAAAAATATGTTTTGCATAAAAGATACGCATACAGCAAGATTAGAATGCACCTGTCCGCAAAAGTAGTCAGGGGTACCCACAGAAAATTAAGCAAATTCAGAGTTACCAACCATCAATACTCAAAATTCTTTATTTCAAAGGCTGCAGAAAAAACACGTATGAATCCATATTATGAAACGATCAATACCTCTTTCTTGCTTCCGGTTTCCCAAGATGGTTGATTGAAGCCTAAGAAGAGATCACTGAAGGATTTACCATGTTCAAGCCATTCACGGTGACACTTAGATTAGGCAGGGTAGACTTTCCGGTAGATCTAACAGATTTTTTTTTCAATTATGATTCGAGGAAGTGGTTTAAATAGGAGGAGAAACAAAGGGAGGTGGAACGAAACCATAAATAAAGAACATGATTGAATGGTGTGGGTCGTGATAATGTTGATTTGCAGAGAATTGAAACAATGGCGATTGACTTTCGACGACGAAGTGGTAGAGGTAAAGACGTTTGCTTGCAAGATCTGACGTGGCAAAATAAAACCCTTTTATTGGTTAATTATTTTTTCTGACGTGTCATAGCCCATTGAGCTTCATATCCGCCTTTTAATATAGTTAGATTATGAATTTACACAAATGATTCTCCTCAGCCCCGCGGCTAAAAATACTATTTTCCGAAATTTGACATGCACTTAACCCCCCACCGGGGTTTCGATTCCCCATCACTTCTTACGCTTTTTTTTTCTATATTCTTTAGGTTTTTGTAAAGTCATCCAGATTATGTAACATGCTTTCCTGTTAGATTCAGAAACTTGAAAATTTTCAGTAAGTAAAATAAATGTCTTAATTAATTTTTTTGCAGTATTCTCATGAAACTTCATGAACATAACAAAGTCAACATTCATGACAAAAGATATATATATATATATATATATATATATATATATATATATATATATATATATTTAAAACAGTCTTAACTAAACAAAAACATTTCACACATCTGCATCTTTCTCATTGTCCAAAGTTTTCATCCACAAACTGGATGAGGATCTCACAAAACAGGCTTCTCCTTAGTTTATGTGCATTGTCATCATTGATCTTTGACATGTCTTCTATTTTCACCAAGTGCCATTCGAGCATCTTGAGAACAACTAGACCACGATTGGAACACAAATTTTTCTTTGGTAAATTGTCTGTCTTCTCAACTTGAAATGGAACCACCTCCTCTTTATTAACCTCTTCACAAAAAGCTTCCATCATGAGTACATGAATCAACACTGTCACATACAACAATCGTGATCAAGATAGAATCACTTGCATACATCAGACCAAGAAATTTAATCAAATACAAAGGTTTTACCTCTCAATTATTCCACATGAGAAGTATCGATGTTTCTTTCTTGGGTTGGAAGACCACAATGATAGAATGTGATTGTTCTCTTCTTCAAATCTATTTCCATCCCAATCCAGTGTTTGCTGTTTTTTGCATGAATGGCACCATAGAGGACTTCAACATCTTGCCCCCATTTCTTCCTTGGATAGATTTTCCCTCACAAGTTCTCTTTAACCATCCGCAAATAACTTTTCACCTTTTCTAGTTGGTATTTTGGTATGATAGTGCCACAATGTTGGTAAGAAATCGATAGGTAAGAAGCACGCTTTTGGAATCTTGTTATTGTGGAACCAAGCAGCCTGCTCATTTCTTCTGCAATTTAGCATTGCAAACGCTCCTTCTATGTGCTTCAAGAAAAATCCAAATACAAATCATCAAATAATTATTCAGAGTATGAAGTATGTTTGCAACGAATTACTTTTTTGTCAAGATCTTTTCCTGTATTTTCAATGTATTGAAAGAAATATTTCCTTGTTTCAACATTATTGATTGATAGCGACTTGTAGTCGATCAAAAATCAAATGGAATTATTTAAACTCTTAAAACAAAAATTAAGAATATATATACAAGGACAAAAACATGCTTACATTCCATGTATGCCGCCGGTTGATGCCATCAATTTCTGAAGCCTTGTAAGCTTATGAACCGAAAGAGTCGAAAATGGATCAACTTCAGGTATAATCAGACATGTTACAGTTAAAGCAAGATTTATGTTTGACTTGAATGGAGTTCTTGTGTCTCTAGATCGTTTAGGCACCCTCACCTCCATCTTAGGTAAGTTTTAAAAGTATCTATTCCTGATTCTTGTGATGATCCAGCAGCTTTCCTTTTCTTATCACGCTTCTCCTTTAATCAAACAAATAACAATACAAAAGACACCAAACAAAAAAAATATTCAAATTCGTTACCATCGGATTTTCTGGAAACTAATCCTGAAACTAAACAAATCCTTCCTGGATTTGTTTTTTAAAATACTGCACAGTTTCACAAGCACAACAAGAGCATGTGTAAACCATTCCTGAAACTAAAAAAATCCTTCCTAAAATTTAAAAAGACTACAAAGTTTCACAAAGCACAAGCAAGAACATGTATAAACCAAACAAGTAACCAAGCAATCTTTTATTCATGAACGCATTCCTAAAATGACAAGTAACAAGGATTACACTATGTTCTGATTTCATAACTCTGCTCACTACAAGAAAACTCGTCCATTACTAGGACGATTTTTCCTCGTTATTTCCTAGTAAATGGCCCTTTACTAGGAAATAATGAGGAAACGCGTTTCGTCAAAACACGTTCATCGTAAAGCCTTTTTCCTCGTAAGGTCCTAGCAAATTTATGAGGAAACTTTTCCTCGTAAAGGCTTGGTTAGCTTTTTCTCGTAAGGTCCTCGTATGGTTTCCTCGTAAGCTCGTAGTAAGCTTTTCCTCGTAAGCTCGTAGTAATACATTACGAGAAACTTACTAGAATTAATTACGAGGACATTACTTGGAAACTTTACGAGGATTTTGCTTCAAAATATTTTATTCCCTATTAAAAAAAATTAATTATAAATATAATTAATTAAAAAAAATCAAATTATAAATAAAAAACAAAATATTTTATAAATAACTAAATAATATACAATGAAGTTTTAAAATTCATGATATACAATTAAAAATAAAAAAAACTACGGATGCTGGTCGTGAAATTGCCGAACGAACTCGTCCTGGCTAGCCAAATCCTGCTCCTCTCCTAAGTTGGTTGTCGGCTGTGACTGTGATGGTGGATGCTGTTGGGTTGGAATCCCTCCGCGATCCCGTCTCTGACGCAACATCTTCTCCAATTACGGGTTTCCAACCGCCAAAATGTCGAGGACATCTGTGAGAGAAGTCACATGCTCGGTGAGCGAACTCACATGAGGCTGTGTCGCCTGCAACTTTGAGCGCAGCTGAGCATTGACATCGTGCTGCTCCTGATGATAAGACGATGTCGCTGCAGGGACATCGTTAACCGAGCCAATCCCGACGATACACCCTTTTTTCCTAGGGGAGACCTGTAAATAAAAATATTAATAACATTAAGAAGAAATTTAAATAAATATTAAAAATTAATAGTAAAACAAATTATTTACCTCCTCGTAAATCTTATCCACTTCAAGAGTGGATAATACGACTGGAGTCCCAGTCTGCTGAGTCAGCTGTGTCTGGCATTCGTCAACTCGGGCAACACCTCGTTGTAGATCCTCTCGGAAGCAAGATTTACAAACTGCCCAGCCTTGTTCTGGTGGGTCCTCTCGTAAAGGTCTTTCAGAGATGGAAGAACTCCTGTCTCTTTAGCCTAAAAGTAATTTTTAAAATTAAATATTAATTTGGAATAATCAAATAAAATATAAATTAAATAGTTTTTAAAAATCATCTTACCATGTCTAGACGAACTCCCCTGTGAGGTTTTCGTCCCGTGGTGTGAAGCATCTTCGTGTTGCCATGCTCGTCTCTGGTCATGCGGTTCCCGGAGTTTGTGTGGGAGGTTTTGACCGAGTCCGGCAACCCCCAATAGCTGATGAGGCCATCCCACACTGTGGTTGTGAGGCAATCGGGTTTCCCGTCCTCGTAATTATCCACCTGATTTAAAAAAAAATAGAATTAAAGTCAATCATATTTTTAAAACTATATATATATATATATATATATTATAATTTATAAATCTATACCTGATAGTCGCCCTTCCAGTTGTAGACCATGTCGAGCAATCGTGCTCTTGCCTTGCCCTCAAACTCCTTCTTCACCCGCTGGAGAATCCCAATAGACCAATGATATTTTTGCTGTAACCAGAAAAAATAAGAGATGGATTAGTTCAATAATATTAATAATTATAAATAATTAAAAATAAATTAAGTCATTAAACTTACAGCGAACGATTTGAACCACGTATTTTTTGTGTGGCTCACCGTCTTCTTGCAGTTTGGAGCTGCATCGGGAAAGTATCCCTTGATACAGTCCGTGACGCTAGTTGCGACACAATTGTCAAGACCAAACCTGGAAAGATACAAAATAAATCATTAATTAGATTAATTTTTAAATATTTTGTTAATTAAGAAATAAATTAAAAAACTTTTTAAAAATTAAAACATACCATCGGATAGGATCTAACTCTGGCAGCCCTTCTCTGCCTGGAAGGGCCAAAATATCCTCCACCGTGTACACCGCATAGGGTGCGTTCGGCGGCACCTTC